CGCCCAGCCCAAAGAAAAAATCGAAGAAAGACGCCCAGTCGTATTTAAACCCCTTCGTCCTTCTCTGCACTCGAAATTTACCACGGCAAACGGCAAAGCCATGGTAAAAGTCGACGCAAACCATGTCTGCCACGGCATAATTTATTTTTGTGTGCCGTAGTAGACCCTATCATCCCAAATTAGTTTTTAACAAAGAAGTATTGGTATTTTGTTTATTTATATTTAGAAGTTGTGTAGGTCTGTTCATATTACACATCTACGGTCTTTAAATTTGTATATTTGCTGTCTCTGTATCATTGATGAAAATTAAGTGAATTTGGTACCTTAAACACTGTATAAATTTAAAGTCAATCGGATATTAACATTAGCCTCTAGAGCGTCCACAAGATTTTTCAAAGTAATCAAGGGCCATAACTCTTTCAGTAATTGCTGAAAATCAATAGGATTCATCCTCACACGACCTTAAACACTGTGTATGAATTTAAAGTCAATTGGATATTAACTTTAGCCTCTTCAATAGGCTTCTTCGTCTCATGGCCTTAAACATTGTGTATAAATTTAAAGTCAATCGGGTATTAACTTTAGCCTCTAGAGCGTCCACAAGGAATTGTGGACGCCGGCCGGACGGATGGGGTGATGACAATATACGACCACTTTTCAATGTGGGCGTATAAAAATGTCAATGTGAGGTTGAATATCAATGTTACTCTCTGTTGACCCAATTATACACAATTTCAATAGCAGGTTGTGCTTTTATGTGAAAAATGACCGACATGGGAAATTTTGAAGTGGAAACCCTGCTCCAAATAAGAATGAAGAGGGGTATTAATTATGTAAATGAAATCAAATTACTACGCAGATATAAACGACATTGAAGTTAAATAATTTTGTTGTAAATCGATGTCGTAATACCTTCGGGATACTTCTCATATTCACACAATAAACTGCCTGCCAGACAGTTAATCTCTCCATTTGAAGGAGTAGTCTAATGCAGATATGTGCGGCCTTTAGAGAAATATAATTCAATTATAGAAAGCAATTTGTAAGAAACAGTTCACAAAGTCTAAACTTCTTGTAACAAATTATTTAATTGAATTTACTGTTCAAAATCTACTCTGGGTGAATGTTGGTTTTGTGGTGGCTTGACTTTCTAAGAATCTTAAATATCATCCAAGCCTTACTTTTAATTTCCTCATAAAGCCGAATTCAACCATTAACCCCAAGCCAGAACACAAAGGTAAGCTTAATCTTGCATTAAACTGGTAAATAAAAGATTCAGCACCAAAAACACAATGCATTAATCATGCATAAAGCTTAAAAATTATTGTCTTTAATGTAATTGTCAATATTTATCGGTTATCTATTTCATAATTAATTATATGTTTTGGACAAAAGGACAGATGGACAGGGTCAACCAATACCAACATATGGCCTTATTACAATGATCGTTCGTTCGTTCGTTCCTAAAGTTTTACGTCCACTTCCACCATAGGTGATATCGATGGGTATATTATGCCTTTATACCATAGCATGTATGGAAGCCTATTACGACCATTTCATAATCGAGAATGCTAGGATCTCACCCGAATTCATCAAAGTACATCAGGATTTTTCATGCGTAGTTTGCCCTTGTCAGTGGTGTAGGACGGACAGTCTGGCAAGGGACAAAGTATAGTCGTTTAGATAGGATAAAAAAACCAAAAAAACAAGGCCCCGTGTCCGGAATCGAAATGAAGTGGGAGCAACTGTGGCTAAGTGAGTATGACGTTTGCTCTCCAACTTCATCAGGATTTTTTCATGCGTGTCTGGAATTGAAATGAAGTGGCTCAGTGAGGAGGACGTTTGCTCTCTTACTTCATCAAAGTTCATCGGGGGTTTTCTGGCGGGGTTCCCCCTTATCAGTGATGTAGGATGAAAGACCTGGCAAGGGAACACGTAAGTCTTTCGGATGGCATTAAAAACCAAGGTCCCGTGTCCGGAATCGAAATGAAGTTGGAGCTAAGGTGGCTTAGTGAGTTCGAAGCCACAGAGGCTATGTTGGTAAGACGCTGGCTCACTAACCTTTCTATGATGCATTATCAAATCACTCGTAGGATATCTGGCTTTGCACAGGCCCAAATTTGCCCGGGCCTCAAATTCACCCGGGCCCAAATTTGCCAGGAGCCCATATTCGCCCAGTGCTCAAATTCACACAGGGCCCAAATTCGCCCGTGGTCCAAATTCGATGGCCTAAAACATTCACGTAGTCATTCATGCTTTTTAATTTGATATGAGATATGTGGCGGTGGAGTGTGGCGACAAAGCGTGATTCGCTTGGGGCCCGAATTCAATGGGCTAAAACATTCATGTTGCGAAGCTGGTTAATTTAATACCACATAATAATGTGGGTTTGGAGCGGGGCGACGAAGCATAATGGGCGAACATAGATACAAACATACATACAAACACACTTTGATTTTATTTATATAGATATCACCGCAAGGTTCTCATGACAATCTTTTTGGGTTTATTAATCAAAGGGTACGTCCAGACTGCATCAAAACCACCTAAATAAGCCTTGGTGGCAAAATTTATTTCACAGAATCAACTACTAGACTGCACACTTTCAGAAGCCTTCTATGTTGATTTTTCGAAATACATTACCGTAAATATATTAATAATATCAGAAAATAGGGTTAGGGCAGGCTCACCGTACATACATATTCTTCTAAACTGGCTTTGGTGGCTCAACGATGTTTATATCTCCACATTGACAGATGACTAAAAGGGTGTAGGTGTTGAAAACAGTTTTATAGCCATGGCTTCACAGGCTTTACCTGACAGTCCTTTGTCGCATAAGGAAAAAATTATCAGTTGAGGCACTGGATACCAAAGGTACTAGACATTAAACCAATACTATCCGTATACCTTGGCCATATCATTCCCTCATATATTTTCTTTGTGGAACATCTCAAAGATATTCTGGAGTAAGAACAACTTGATAAAATAGAATTTAGGAACTTGACCTCCCAGTCAGATTATCATTAGTTCCAGGAGTTCTCTATAATCTCCTCGAAGGGAAAAGTCATATACTGGGGTTGCTCCGATGCTCCACATCAGGACGTCGCCTGTCATGTCTCAGAGATCATTTGCTTTTGACTCCCAGTCCATTTTCACCAGGTTATTCATACTCCCAGTCCAATTTCACTAGATTATTCAAGTATTAACATGCCAAAGTTCATGAACTTTCCATGTTGCATTATCGAGTTACGCACCTCAAAGTTTTCAGCATCCGGATTCGAGGCGAAGTTTGTGGTTTCAGTAAACAAAAGGTACGTCCATGCCAAATCAAAAAGCACCTAAAGGGTCTTTAACAGTAGGAGGAGAAACCGGAGGACCTGGAGAAAACCCACAGGGTTGGACAGGTGATCTAGCCCTTGTCACGTACAAGAGGGAAATCGATACCGTGCCAGTTGACTCAATGACAGATTTTATGATCAAATGCGAACGTGTTAACCATTCGCCTACCAAAACCCCTACTGTTATTTTCCTACTAATGAAAATGAATATACACCATGCAGTGTGCTACAAGGGCTTCTCTTATTTGGAATTCCAACCGTAAAAGGTTCTTGTACATGGACGCCAATGTGTGTGTGAGGGAGAAAGAGAGATTGACAGACTTGACACAAACCAGGTTATTCCAGGACTAACAATTTTATTTCAATAATTCGCTTGCATGTAGGGTTCTTTAGCAGTGGGGGGAACCCGGAGGACAGGAGAAAACCCAGATGGTTAGACAGACGACCCTAATCCTTGTCACATTCAAGCAGCGAATCGAAACCGTGTCACTTGAATCAATGACAGACCCCCCCCCCTCCTCATGCCAATGTGTACACGGGACCTTGTTTTTTTTTCCCATCCGAACGACTATGTTATCCGTTGTCAGGCCCTCCGTCATCGGGCCTACACAACGGACAAGGTTGGACATCTCCAGAAAAATACAGATGCCCTTTGATCCTACTCACTGAGCCACCGTAGCCCCCACTTCATTTCGATTCCGGACACATAACCTCATTTTTTATTTATACCATTCGAACGACTAGGAACGTTGATGAAGTAAGAGAGCAAACGTCCTACTCACTGAGACACCATAGCTCCCACATCATTTCGATTTCGGACCAGGGAGTTGTTTTTTTTTTTTTTATTCCCTCCAAACGACTATACGTTGTCCCTTGCCAGCCCCTCCATCCTACACCACTGACAAGCAAGGACATCGCCAGAAAAATCATGATGAACTTTGAGAGTTAGAGAGTAAACCTCCTACTCACTGAGCCACCGTAGAACCAACTTCATTTCGATTCCAGACACGGGACCTCGTTTGTTTTTTTATGCCATTCAAACGACTATACGTTGTCCCTTGTCAGACTCTCCGTCCTACAGCACTGACAATGGGGGACCACGCACCAAAAAACAAAAACATGAATGTTGATAAAGTTAGAGAATACAGAATACAATACTATCTATGCAAGAAGAGATTAAAATTGTTTAGGACTATTAAACTTTCTAGCACTCCAAAGGCGAGAACGCAAGGGAGTGAGAAGTCAAGGGCGAGAAGTCGAGAATTCGAGGGCGAGAAGTTGAGGGTGAGAGTGCGAAAAAGCAAGGATTTTCATAGACGAGAACCCGAGGGAGCGAGAAGTCGAGATCAAAATAATCTTGTGTTCTCTCGCCCTGTTTCCTCGCTTTCTCGCACTCAACTTCTTGCTCCTTCCCGTTTTTGCCCTCGATTACCCGCTGTGAGAACTCGAGATAAAATGGCCGCAATAGGCTTCCATAAGCATGTGATAGAATTCAACAATGTGTTAAAACTATGTTGCACAATTAATGCAATTTTGATTCAATGCAATAATTTAAGCTCTGCATTAGCAATTAATATGGTTAAATGGTGATTAATGATGACAAACTATTCTGAATTAATTTATTGTTTCTTTATATAATACAATCTCATCAATTCTTCTCACCTTGTTGAGCTAATTCCTGACCCCAAAGTTTTCTCTCAGCTTTTAAGCCATCAATAACAGACTGCTTTGCATCTAATTCAGCTGAAATTCTTCCCTTTTCCTGTGATGAGGAAAAAAAAATATTCACCATTACTGTAAATAAATGTCTAATTAATAGTTGATATAACATTTGAAGCCAAAATCGGCAAATTTAGCTCTTACATAATGCATCTGGATTGTTTGGGCTTTTAACATAATGTATTATCATAGTAAAAATGTATTGTACCTTCTTTAATAGTTCAAACTGTACCATGCGTTTTCTGGCTTCTTCAACATGGGCTTCTAGTGTTTGAACCCGCTCCTGAAATGTTTATAATGCACTAGTTAAGTGAAAATTATCAGGATGACTAGTCATCACCATCCGGCACCCTTGCAATTGTTTGGAAGGCAAAAGGAAAAACAACTTTTTAGAATATCAATGGGACTAGTCAAAAAAATCATACTCTGATCACATTAGCTCGGCAAGGCTCGGTCACTACTCTCTGTAAGGTTTGCACAACCTTTGCCTATGTCAATCAGCTGCTGTATGTTAAACATTACGTTATACATCTGAAAATAAAATACTAAAATAGTTTGATGTTTGTGCAAAGTTTCAAATGAAAATGAAATGAAATGGGGTTTAACGTCCTACTCCTATCGCCTACTCTTATATCGAATTCCAACTGCCAAGGGATCTTTTACGTGCATTCCAATGTATACACGGGACTTTGTTTTTTTGTCTCATCCGAAGGACTAGACAGCTGTCCTTGTCAAGCCCTCCGTTCTGCACCACTGACAAGGGGAAACTACGTCGGAAAATCCCGATGAACTTTCTCGGCCAATGCAGGGATTGAACACATGACCTCCAGGCTAGCGAGCCAGCGTCTTGACCACCTAGCCACCGTGGTTCCTAAAGTTTCAAAAAGATTTCTTGAACGGACAATGAAATATATTTATATGCTCCAGAAATGAAATCGGGGCAGAAGGACGGTCATCAGAAAATAAAAATAATAGGTTGATGAATGTAACAGTTTCTGAGATATGCTCTAGAATAATAATTATATACCAAAAACTAATTCAAATCTGTAGTAAAAATTAAAAAATCATTCAACAGAGAATTTTGTTTCCATGGAAACACAAGAGTTATTAAATCTGACAAATTTCTAATTAGTAAAAGGCACAACTACTGTAGTAATAGGATAATGTGTGTGTGTGCAAAGTTTCAAAAATATATTTTGAACAGTTTATGAGAAATGCTCCGGAAACAAAATTGTACATAAAAATTAAATGAAATTTGTTTCCATGGAAACACAAAAATCATTAAATCCAAGAAATTCTAAATTAGCAAAAGGCACAACTACTATAATAGGTTGGTGTTTGTACAAAGTTTCATGAAGATATCTTGAATGGTTTATGAGATATGCTCCGGGGGAAAAAAAACTGAACGCCAAAAACAAAGTCAAATTTGTGGAAACACAAACAAATATAAATCAAAAAAATTCCTAAATAGCAAAAGGCACAACTACAGTAATGTGTTGATGTGTGTACAACATATCTAAAAGATATATTGAATGGTTTATGAGATATGCTCTAGAAACAAAATTATACACCAAAAACTAAGTCAAATTTGTTTCCATGGAAACATACACCAAAAACTAAGTCAAATTTGTTTCCATGGAAACACCATAAAATCCTAAATAGCAAAAGGCACAACTACTGTAATAGATTGAAGTGTGTACAAAGTTTCAGAAAGATACGGTTTATGAGATATGCTCCGGAAACAAAATCAAGACGAAAGGACGGACCCCATTTCAATATCCCTCCCTAACTTCGTTCGGCGCAGGATAACAATGTATTTCTTAAAATCTTGTTGGCAGTCAACTAACAATGTTTGAAATGTCAAAACTTTCACCACATATTGATGGTTATATTTTTCCTTCTGAGCAAATTCTGATTATGACAGCGATAAACTATAGAAAAAGAAATCAGCCACCTTAGCTTTGGGCAATTATCGACTCAATTAAACTATCAACAAAGCCCTGGGAGACAAAGGTAGAAAACCACTTAGAAAACAAGAATCTATAACAGGGTATATACCATTCATTGGCAACACAAGCTGAAATAAGAATTGGTCATCAAGATTAATGTCACTGGAGGGAGGCTATTCCAAAACCTGATAAAACAGATTCAAGAATGGATAATGGAAGGCCTGACCTGGGAGATGTAATACAAGATAGACTGTATAGCTGTGATGCATCACATATGGAAAAGATAGCACCCTCCATATCAGTCAGGGCTACCTAAACCTAGATAGCTACCACCAATAAGCAAAGAGAAAGGTCACCAACAATGCAATATATTTCATTGATAAATACACCATCAGATACCAACAAATACTCCCCAGAAACATCAGATCAAGCAGGCTACTTCACACATCCTAAAAGTTGTAGAAATTTGAAGACATAACTCTACAATGAATAGAGATGTTGGATTGTTTATTTCTAATGTCTGGGATGAACTGATATTTGAGAAAAACACTTCCTGTTTAAATTCAGAGTGGTGTTATTGTGCAATAGAATGCCCTGAGGCATAATAATAATACAAAGTAAACTCAGAGTGTACGATCATATAGCATTAATATATAAGTATATTTGTTTAATATGGTCTTTCAGACCTTCGGTCGAAACACGTATTCTTTTTATTATTTTTTTTTTTTTTCTGGAATTTAGTTTGTGCAGCCAAAACTGTACATGGTGCAAACATTCTGGCAACATAGATGTGGTTGGCCTCTGTGCATCTATTTATTTAATATAAATTGGGTCATTTATGACAAACAGGAAGTGTTTTACGGATGGGACAAAAAACAATCTCAGATTGCCCATATCTCGGTTATTTCTCAACGGATCTTCTTCGGGTTTTCATTTTTGGATTCTTTGGACGAATCCCATAATATGGGCTCTGACTGACGGTTTATAGAAATTCAGAAGTTCACTCGATTAATATCAGCATCAAAAATTTGCGAAAGTTTTCTTCATCATTTTATCGGCATTCAAGATAGCATATCTCTGTCACTATTTGAGGTATCAAGTTGAAATTTGGTAGGAATAAGGAACACACTGATACACTCAAAATGACATATTAAAAAATTTGGTGATGGCTTCTGGAAACTATTTTAAAAATAGACAAAAAATCACATATAGTGGTGTTAGCCCCAGATATTATCTTTCATGATTCAATAACATTTTCAACCGCTTGGCCGCCATATTGGATTTTACAAAAAAACATTAAAATCGATATTCATGCAGCCGCCATTTTAATTCTGATTTTCGAAAAAAAAAAAATTTTCTATTGAACCTACTCCAAACGGCAACATTTTGTTCAACTTTTTACCATCTAGATCAGTGATTCTCAACCAGTGTGCCGTGGCACACAAGTGTGCCGCGAGATCTTCCCAAGTGTGCCACAGAATAATGAGCGGCACACTAAGGAAATGCGAAAAACCAAATGATCCCAATTAAGTATTCACTGGTGTCTACTGGTAAGTTCATAGCTGTGTTTTCTTAATTTAGTTTGAGTCATTCTATGTGTCTATGGTTTGTCTCTGTCTACAGTTGTATGCCATCTGACTTGCCATGTTTTTATTTTGCAAATATCAAATATTTTTCATATATATTTAGCCAGGTGTGCCGCTATGTTTCCATGTGTTCCAAGGTGTGCCATAGGCAAAAAAGGTTGAGAACCACTGATCTTGATGGTGACCTAATCTTTCCACGACCCTTGACATTTGTATGTATGATGACCCTGATGTTTACTAACAATTAATATAAAAAAGTTTGGTCATGAAGTATAACTTCTGGTTTTATTAAGAGTTCAAAATGACAGCTTTTTCCACTTTAATTGTTATTGGATGTAACTATACTCAATAATCTATGGTGTAACTTGAATCTTAATGTGACAAGGCGTGACATGACGTGACATACCGAAACAGGTCAGTACTCCTTAGGAGTTCTAGTTTTATTTGTTTACTCTTCTGTTGTTGTTTATTACAAATTTAACAACTACTACGCTACAAATTATGTTATGGACAGGTTGATTTAATTAAAATAATTTATATGTGCAGGAGTAATAAAAATATGGATAAAACATAAAAAAATGTTCTTGTATATAAAAATTGTCACTTTAAAACATGGTGTTAAAATTCACTGTCACGAGAAGAGAAGGTGGAGCATCTTCTCCCTTAGACATAATAAAATCAAGTTAAAACATGAGGTCCAGCTCGTTGATGTTTGATTTTTTTAATGTTTTTTCTTGTACGAGCTGGAACCCATTATCATGAAAGTAATCATTTTGTCTAATGGGTCATTCCATGTCAAGTGGACCAAATTTCGGAAAGTTGGGAACATGACCCCCTCCCAAAAAAATTCTAAAAAATATATTTTATATTATACGGCCGTAAGCTAACAAATGCAAAATTATACCTTTCTAGGTTGAAAACTCGCTGAGATATGGCTATTTCAAATTAAGGTACAGAAATGGATCATAAATTAACTAATTTTAGGGGGGTTTTCAAGTGCTTTAAACTCACATTTCTAATAGGAGTAAAACTCTCTAACTTTGTAATCTAAGATAACTCTTAGTGCAGATTACAAATTTAGCATCACACGCAATTTGCGATTCACACAGTTCGTGCCATCAGGTGGCAAAATGTGGAACAAATGAACTGTTCACTTTTTTTCCCAGGATTTCCACAGCCTCTGGCATAGTCACTATTGTATACACAACCTCCAAAATTGTCATAGTTAATGTCAGTTTGTCTTTTATCAATTTACAAAAGATTCTGAGTTGTTGGGATATATACTTTTTCAAATATTCAGTCTCGAAATTCAATGCACACTGAAAATGTACAAAAGATACCCATTTTCACCTTCAATTTTGGCCATGTGAGACAGGTTAAAATTCTGAAAAAGGTTGATAATGAAACTTCATTAACCTACTATAACATACATTAAAGTCTATTTTGTGTATTTCATGGCTTATATTTTCAATTGGCACTTGAAATTTTTGCTGGGATGAAGTTTTAATGGCTATTATCAAAATTGTTGACTTTTCACGTTGATTTTAATTTAAAATAACTTCTAAATGACCTATACTCCTCAAACGTGTCTATTTAGAGTGACTTTTTGCGTAGATTAAAAATATGTAATCATTTTGGATGCACACTGTATTGTTCTAATTTTATTCTGCCTCCAAAATTTGAACAAAATAGTTAATATGCTTCACGAATTTGAATATTGGGTTTTGACGATCAGATTAAAATTATTT